AATACTTATCCCACATTATTGCGGTCACGTATTATTTTTAATAAGCTTTGTTATTAAAAGTTTAAAAATAGTTATAGGTTAAGTTAGTTGCTAGTATTGTAGTTGTAACAGGTCGCGAGTTCACTATAATTTCATCTTATTCATCAGTAGACCATTAGAATCATCCACTGCTGGGCCATAGTCCAGACCCATTCTCCTCTATATAAGAGGGTTGACCATATTCTGCCATGCTTGACTATTAGAGGTCGCTGTTCAAAAAGGTTAGGTTTTTTAGAGAGCGCTGCTGCCCAGGCTTTGTCAAACGAGTAAGTCTATCTCTTTTAAGCTGAGCTCTGGCCTTTATTTCTTTGTGAGCTTCTAAAACACCCTCTGTTGGACTTGGAACCTCCTCTACTTAAGAGTATTTTCCATAATCTCTCATACTTGACTGTTAGAGATAGCAGTTCAAAAGGTTCAGAATTATCAGAGAGCGTTGCTCCCCACAACATGACTGCACGTTTGGCGGGGTGGCTGGGAAACTGGCTGCCACGCAACGTGTCGCGGGTTTGATTCCCGCACGGAACAACTCTTAGCGTGATCCACAGATTGTTATTCCGGGTCTGGGTGTCAAGTGTAGGTATGAGAACTTGTATGTTTTTAAACACACGTTTGTATCACAGGAATAGATGCAATTGTGGGGCAAAGCTTTTAAAAAAAAGAGGCGAAAGAGATGATTGACTGCTAGAGATCACAGTTTATTAAGTTCAGAATTATCAGAGTATTAAATGGAGGTATCTGTCTCTTAGTTGGCTGTTACGATACCAGCTAGAAATGTGAGGGTGCTGATAAAATAATGCATGTCGTTCTATTCACCACACAGGTTAATTAAAGTGTAGGATGACTTACTTTTACTTATAGTCCTAAGTCCCCTAGATAGGGCAAATGGCGCCCACACAGGTTCTCCATTTTGATCGATATTCTCGCTTCACCTCGCTCCACGTCATTCCGATGCTCGTCGCTTCTGCTATCACATTACTCGTGTAAGACTGTTTGGATGATATTTCCATCTTAAAAAGGGGGTGATCCTAATATACCAAGGTATTTTTTTAAGTAGGGGAAAATCATCGAATGACTGCTCCCGCCTGGATGAGGTGGGAGGGAGTGTCAGCCTCTTAATGACTAAAAACCACCCCGGTAACCCGTTAGGTTCTCCGATAGTGGTCGACCTAAACTAAAGATACTAGCCATATTCAATAAATGATCATTTGAAAGACTTCTAACAAGAAAACCTTAAGTATTTAGGTACCATAAAATAATAAAACAACATTCTATGACAATATAAAAGATATTTGAAGTAAACTATAAAATATCTAACAAACTGCCAGTTACGTCGATAGTAACAATAAGTCAAGTGTTCTTCCGGGAACAGAACCTTAGACCTCGGCGTCATATCGTATCAAAAGCATAAATTCTTTGCAATTTCTTCGTTGCGTGATACGACGGACCCACTTTCTACCACGCGTGGAAGGGTTACACTGCAGTGCAAATTTATTGACACATTTTCAGTTCATTTTAAAAATGTTTCGTTGGTATATTTTTGTTGGAATTTTAAGATGATTTTGTAAAAGATTGGAATGGGGATGATGACAGGGTATAAAAATTAAAAATATAATTAGTCCATAAGTTAGGTAATTAAAAAATATTAGACACGTATTTTTTTCTTTTGTCGTATAATAAAACAATAATTAGATAAAACGAATCAAAGTTTAGGAGTGGGGGCTAAAACGTCATTTCTTAGTATAAAATGTACTGAGAAGTGACGTCACGCGACATTTCAAATCAATATATCGTCGAAAGTATTCGTTTCTGTAAGAAAATAAAAAATACGTGTCTAATGATTGAAAATAATCTACCTGACGGACATTAAAATAAAAATTAGTCGTCTACCCAATTAGTTACACATACTACATACATAGCTACACGCCAGTCTCCTACGGGGATAGGCAGAGACGATGAAACACCTATTATAATAGAATATCATAGAATTAGTAATAATTTCGGTAAAAGTTAAATGATATCGAATTTGAATACAACCGAAGGGTATTGTAGATTTTTATAATATATTAGTACATATATCTCTTTCGCTTCATCAACAGTCATCAATCTTTTCATGCATGCTCGTCGGTTACGGGTACTTTTAATTTGGGCCTTTTTAATATATCGCCAATATGTTCACTATATGACCGTCTAGGGCGCCCAAATCGCCTCTACCAAAATATAGAGAACTACTATAAGAGTAATATTGACTTTAGCTAACGTCAATTCTTAAAAGCTTCTTGCAATACGATTACACTTTTATTAGACTTTTTTTAAATTAGTGATGAGACAAAAAAGCTTCGATGTTTTGAAACGACTGACTCTACTCTACCTGTAGACTGATTTATTAGTAAAACAGTTGATCACTTTATCCTGTTATATAACAAAACATTTATGTCTAAATGAAAATCCCAAACCAGTAAGGTTGTAAAAACTATTAATCACAAAACTAATACTTGGCAACTAGTTTTATTTGGTAATCCTTATATAAATAGGTATTTTTTTATTGGGACAAGTCCGCCACAGCCTACCAATACCGCTGTAACTCCTGTAAGCCAGGATCTACAGTAGGTACAACAGCGGAACACTGATGATTGTAAATAGGTATATTAATTTTTCCACAATTAATCAGAAACCGTTCCTGTTTTAGAACAACGTCTAAGCAAATAAGGAGGAAGTTATTTTAATAAATTTTTAAACAAACAACTAATGTTTAATTGATTTTTGTTATAATTTTCCTTCCGCACTGGCTGCGGGACGTAATAAAACTATTATTGTAAATAAAATAACCATTTAAAGTTCAGTTATATTAGTGGCCGCGATACCCACATGTAGTTTTTGTTTTAATACATTTTCCATAATTAAATTCATGTCGCGAAAATGTGGATCAATCAAAATTCCGATGTTTTGTTCGAGGTAACTATTTTTATCGTTTCTCTTTATTTTTTGTAATTATTACAATATGTACAACTTAAAATAAACTAAAACTAATGCAGACATTTAATTAAAGGAAAACTAAAAATGACTATTTAGGTACAGAAAGCATCAAAAAAATTGTCCGCGTCGCCGTCAAAGTTCTTTTTACAGTTTTTATTACATGTTTTCTTCTTTTATAAATATTTAAACATTTTATTTTAATTGTGTCTTATACAATAAGCGCTATTCTTAACACGTTAAACTCCATGGGGGTCACCGGTGACCGGCGTTAGCGGAGGATTTACCTTCAACAGTTTTTTATTGGCAGTCAAAGTCTTAAATAAATACAACAGTTTTCAAAAGATATGCTTGCAAACAAAAATGTCCAAATATTGCACCAACCAAATCCCGTGTTAACAACAAACATACATAAACACAGAAAATATCATAAATACAACTAACACACGACAATACAGCAGTAGCTCGCGTATCATAGATTTTGTTACAATATTGTACGTATCATATTTCTTGGCCTCCACTGTATACTTGCGTGTTCGAAGTCGTTTCTTTGCAATCGTACGAACGAAGGGTTTTCAATAAATATACAGGCAAACGTATAAAATATATACTTCGAGATTAGGTTGAGATTAAACAATTCTTACTTACATGACAACCGTTATTGATAAAACTTTGCTGGGTTTTTGATAGGGTTTGTAATGACTTGAGTTCGGTTTTTGAGTTTGTTTGTTAATATTTTAGGGTATGGGGTTATTGTGTTTTTGTTTAGATATTCGATTGCATTAGTTATGATAGCATTTATATAGATACTATTGTATCTGATAGATAGGATACTAGGATAAGTATAAGCTTTAATGGTTTAGTGGCGACAAAATATAAAATTATAATCAGAATCCAATTTTGGGATAGACTTAAGACTTTAGTATTATTTAGTACGGCTGTTGAAAACTTAAAACTTGTCTTACTTTATATCATAATACCAAATAACCTAAAATCGAAGTTTAATTAACAAAGATTCGGATAAAAATCAGAAGAATTACACTTTTATTCACACATACAATTTAATCTTACCTATCAAAAAACGACATTACTACACTGAACTTACCTACAGCATAATTAAACACAAACCAAAGATAACACTCAACAACTTAACAAAAAACACATTTAACAACAAACACTTATTTTCTATATCTAAAAATAAACACACAATTATTCACCCAAACGACCTAATAATGTCGCTAAGAAACACACACATACACACACACACACACACATGAGTAACTAACACCACTAAATAATATAAAGTCTCTATAATTTCCCCTTATCTATGGCTTGGGGAAGGCAATTTCTTTGCTACAGCTAAATTATAGGACGCCTAGCGTGAAACCTAACACTAGACAGAGTATATAACCTATGTACTCGTGTGGTATACCTTTATGTACTTGGTATAAGTACAAGGAAACGCGTAATTAGGTATTTTTAAGTTGATTTGTGTTTTAATGGGGGTTACTTGAGAATGTATTTATTGTGTAGGTAGTTGGTTTCTGTTTAGGTATTAGAAAGTAGGTTTTGATTAATAATAAACCAAAGTGAACGTTAGTAAAAGTATGTCTTAGTTAAACTATGTCTTTTTTGATCGAACTTAATTTTTAACGAAACATTTTTATTATTATCATCCTGTTACCTACAGCTTTACCATTTAAATAACTTGTTTGCCTATAGGTAGTATTTTAAGGTAGGTAATTCTGAATAATTTATACTTAAAAATATCACTATAATGTCTCTTAAATAATCAACTTTTACGTCTATTATGATCAAGCGGGAAATACCTACACAATAATTCTTGCAATTGAGGAATAAGAGTAGAAGACAATACAATTATTAGTGTCTTCTTCTTTTTATACAGGGTCAGGGTCTAGGAAATCAAAAATCCCCGTCTCGATAAAATGTGGCATTTTAATTTAAACTAACCCAAACCGAAATTGTTACAGATATTCATGCACAAAAACGCAATGCAGATGCATGCACGGGAACTGCAACGAGGACTCGGAGGCGAAGTGAAACCTCATCAATGTCAGCAGTGCCTGAAGTCATTTAGCTCCAATCACCAGCTGGTACAGCATATCAGGGTCCACACAGGAGAAAAGCCTTATAAATGCTCCTATTGTGACCGAAGATTCAAACAACTGAGCCATGTGCAACAACACACACGATTACATACAGGTAAGTGAGGTTTTTTGTCGATAATCGTGCGGGTTTTTCGATAATCGTAAAGGTTTTTTTATAATCGTGTAGGTTTTGTGTTCTTTGAATTTATGAGCCATAATTATAAAGAATAGAAATGTTTGACGATGGCATATAAGAAGATATTTTGCGATATCTTTTAGGTGTAAGCTACATTCGGAAATCTACATTTTTTTTTTGTTAGGAAAATAAAATAGGTAAATCTGAAAAACTGCCGAAATTTTCTATCTTCGAAATTATTCTTTCTGAAATCGAAAATCAATATAAAAGAAACCGACGAAGCTTTCCAATTGTTAAAATAACATTTTACTACACCCAATCTCAATAATCTATACAACTAAAGCAATATTAAAAGAGTAATTACTCAATTCATCTGTTCATTATGATCATCTACCTACATTACGAACGCACTCATAATAGAATCTTACGTCGAGCTATTTTAAGTAAGTTTAATAATACTCCTTATACACCTTAGTATTACTCATATGACGACTAATGAAACATGTTTAAAAAACGTAGAATATAATTGTACAACTCTTTTACACAAGGAAGATTTTCCTCTCAAATATTGTATTAGGGAAATCACTATAATAACTACGAGCAGTTTACCTATTAATTAAAGACCCGACGGCAATGTTTTACTATATAAAATCCCCATGTTGGACAAACATCGCTTTAATAATAAAAAGTATATTGATGTTAAATAGTAGCGTCAAATAATAGAAAAACTAATATTCTAAACGAAACACATTCGAATATTCAACATGGCCACTTCTATTCCAAATTTAAAATCATCGCAGCGGCGCGTCACGAAAAAATAGAACGTTATAATTAAAATAGGCTCCCCACTATTGATCGAAGTATCTAAGAAAAAAATTAGTACAACCGTATACGTGAAAAGCGGTGAAAAAAATTCTCCAATAGCCAGCGGCGAGCGGCGGCGCCGGCCAATGGGAGGGCAGCGTTGCAATCCAAGTACGTTTTACGTGGCTTAGATAGAAAAAAATTTACGTGTTTTTCCACGTTCGCGTCGGCCAATGAGCGTCGTTCGTCCATTCGTATCTGCATTAATTCAATCGTATGGCTTTTTGTCGTGATTTTTATTGTTGCGTTTAGCAATGCAATTAGTTGAATACAGGTTGATTCTGTATTAATAAATCATGTAGTTACAGTAATGGTGGTCGTAAGAAGTAATGTTATTTAAATCTAAGATGATTTATCTTGTTTATCTTATTTGTTTTATTTTTTGTATTTAGAACATATATGTAAGTACCTATGTTCCGTAGATTCTGAGACGTGTAGCGCAAGATGGCTTCTAAGTATTTCGCTATAGTAAAAAGGTCTTATCACAAACAGATTATAATGAATAAGTTTTTAACACATTTTAAATAGCCAGTAGCATTCTTTAAGCAACGATACAAACTCTTAACCAATCCCAACTACACTAATATGTCAAATAATTTAAAAAAAGAACCTATCCGACATGAAATTCGTAAATATAAATCCTTAATTATTAGAATAACTAAACGGTATCTATTAAAATACACTTATAGGACCTCAAAAAGAGTTTTTAATCACAGACTAGAACCCCCGCCATAGTCATTGAGATAATTAACGCATTTAAAGTCTACTGATTGTAGGTTTGTACGGCATAAATGAGTTTTTTAATTGTAGCCATGTCGACAGGTCCTGTCTATGGCCAGTTCGTATTTTTTATTAATTTATTGACTCTGTGACGAGTTCTTGTAAGGTTTTAATTCGACTAAATGTTTAGTAATATATCAATTTTTGTGTGACATTACATTCTTTATGCTTATTGCTGTATGGTAGTAGATGGAGATATGTGAATAGTTACATTTTACAGAATGGAAATTATATTTAGTTAGTTGTACTGTCGAGATCTTTAAAATCGGTAATTTGTATTAGTACTTTTTTTGAAAGGGGCAATAGCAATCAATGACTTCTCCCGCCTTGGGTTCGACGAGAGAGATAGTGTCAGACTCTTACTGATTAGAAAACACAACGTTCCTACTACTGCTCTTCGAGCCGGGGTCCCGGCAACCCGTTACGGCCTTCTACGGCTCCAATTAGCTAAAACTAATTACACTGGGCTTGACATGGCTCATAGTCGTAAAAATATGCTAGAAACTAATATAAAACAACAATCATAATGGACAACACGTTCTGACATCAAAAATTTTATAAATAAAATGCAATTTCTACTTACTAAATTACAATATTATGCATCCCCATCATATAGATAGTTGGCAGGGTACAACTGTACACTTCTCATATAGTTTGCTGCTTGCACAGCAAAACTGTAGAATGATCTGTCATCGGTGGTATTTCCGAACCGATACGACCTTCAAATCTTCAAGAAAAGAGCGTATTCCTTTTTAAAAGGCCGGCAACGCAAGAGAAGACACAGTCTTCTCTGATGTTGCCATGGGCGGCGCTGATCGCTTACAATCAGGCGATACGTCTGCTCGTTTGCCTTCTATTCCATAAAATAAACTAAAACACTCAATAAACATTATCCAGCTAGTCTACTTTTCTTCCTACATGCATTCCCCCTACAATAATAACAGCGCAATCTAATAACACAACGGAAACCTTTTTCAGTCCTTCAATGACGTGAAAATTACCTTGAAACGTTCATATCGACATAGACATTCTATTCTATGACACTCACTATATAGTCGACTATATTATTATTACGTGAGAACTATGACAACGAATGACACCCCTATTTCGTGTTGCCTACAACTAATTGCTAGTTGTTAGTTTTTCTGAAAATACGCTGTTGTGTAGTGTATAAAATAGGTATAATTTTATTATTCTTTAGGTATTTTATAGAGTTTAGTCAAGTTACTGGTAGAGCCATGCTTCGGCATGAATGGTCCGGCTCGACCGCAGTGATACCACGGCCTCACAGAAGACCGACGTGAAACAACTTTGTGTTGTGTTTCGTCGTGTGAGTGAGGTTACCGGAGGCCCAATTACCTCCACCTCTTTTCCCAATCCCTGAATCCCCAACAATCCTCAAATTCCTAATCCAAAAGGCCGGTAACGCAGTTGTAACACCTCTGGTGGTCCAGGTGTCCATGGGCGACGCCGATTGCTTATTATCAGGTGATCCGTCTGCTCGTTTACCGGCTTATGCCATAAAAAAAGTCAATGAAATGAATAGTGATAAAACTAATGCTTGCTTGATGGCCTACTGTTAGTTTTATTGTCCAAAACTCCAGATGAAAATCTCATACGTTCAAATGATGTTACATTTCCTAAATAGTGTCATAATACTTAGTATTCATGTTTTATCCCATGGAAGCATTCGGGATAAAAAGTATCCTAGCAGTCAGTCAGCCTATACCCTGCCTGTATACCAAATTCATCAAAATTCGTTCAGTACTTTCAAAGTTATTGACGATCAAACATCCAAACACCCATATAAAGAAACATTCACATTTATAAAATTAGTGTGATAGTGTGATTGTTACTCTATCATCACTATATAGTATAAAACAAAGTCGCTATTCGCCGTCTGTGTGTCCCTATGTACGCTTAGATCTTTAAAACTAGACAACGGATTTTGATGCAGTTTTTTTAATACATAGAATGATTCTTAAGGAAGGTTTATATGTATAATACATGCATATTGGATCTGTGCTAAGGGGAGGGTCGCTAGTAATCTAACTATACAATATTAAGTATATAACGTAGAACACTTTTTGCATTACTTACGTCTTTTAGAACAATTCTCTTTACTGTGTTCCTGTAAAAACAAAACATAAACTTAATTACCAAAGAAGGATCCCTCTTTTAGAAAGATATGAAACGAAAATGTGTCTACTGCCCTCTTTCACATTACGAAATGGCCCAAAAACCTAATCAATGTGCCTACTTACTTCCCCAATTATTCCCGAAGATTTTACATGACAATAGACACAAAAAACTTTTGTCAGTACTTAAACATTTTGTTTTACAAATCTTCAATGAAAACGATTTTGTTTTGTTTTATATGTTATTTTGTTTGTGTATACGAAGGTTCTCCTGTGTCTTTAAGGTTCATTATTGTTTGAATGTGATTGAAAAGTATGTGAATTTAGCTTGTCTATTTTTATACTGATAATGACAAAGTCGAAGCATTTATTTTAATAATTAGTCTATGTATAGACGTTTTTAGTATACCAAATATATTGAGAACGTCTTAATAGGGTGGTAAGGTGGATAAAATCATTTTTATATTTCTAGTAACTTAACACAATCAATATAAAAGAAAACGAAAGAAAAATAAACTTTAACCGTATTTAAATAAAATTGAACATTGAATACTTAAAGGAAAATGAACAATGTTTTAAGACAAGTATAAAAAAAAATAACAGGTGTACGCAAAACTCGAGCTGAGATCTTCCGGTCGCTACTAAAACTCAATATTAAACGGGAAACTGGAAAGTTTCCGTTGAAAAATTCTCTAAAAGAACAAAGACTTCTGTCCAATGTTCTTGAAAACTCTCGAGAGAAATATTCCAATAATTTTCTTCGTAACCTTTCCGACTTTTCCAAAGTTTCGAGTTTTTTTCTTATCCACGAGTTTTTTGTTACCGTTTTTTGACTTGCTTCCATTTTTATTACGAGCAAAGATTTCATATGTTTAGACCAGACTAGAAATAAATAATGAAACAAAGACATCTTTTTTCATTGAAGTGACAACAGTAGAGTTTGATGTGATCGGACAAAACTCAGAAGCCGTTAACAAAATACAAAAACAAAACTATATGGGTAACTTTAAACTAACAACCCCGACCACGTCAAAGTCAAAGCAATTATTTCAATTAAACCGTAATTTGGTACTTTTAAAAAGTCAACAAATAAAAAATTAATAATAGTCACTGAAGCTAGGTGAAGCAATAACGTGTCTTTCTTATTCTCCTATCACTTTCTCTATTACTACTCAAACATCATTATCATTAATCAGT